AAAACAATATCTATATCGCCTAGTAACGCGGATCAAAACAAAGGAGGGTGAATCATGTTATAGGTAATATAGGTTAACAAATAATATATGATAAGTACAAGACAGTAGTTTCACTAACAACAAAACAGAGTTGTAAAATCAAACATATACTCGTGGTTGGTGCTGTGGCTGGATAGTCCAATTCCCGCACGGAACCACTGCTTGTGTGATCCTCTAATTGTAGTTCCGCGTCTGCGTCTGCGTCACAACTGATTTATTCCGATAAAACCATATAGGTACAAGTAATTTGGGACGTTAAAATCGAATAATAGTCTGGCATCATTTTAGAAATCATGTTCTTCAATTCGCTAGATTTTATTTTGAACAAAGTAGATACTCGTATAATAAACGATAGGATCAATATTCTGTTTTTTTTTCATTGGGAGTTGATTCCCAATGAAAAAAAAAACAGAATATTGATCCTATCTGGCTACTATAACTATATTGGCTTACTGACGAGCAATTAGCTCTACCCATGGGCATTCTGAAGACTAGACTAGGCGAGGTGATTTGAACTTTGAGGATTTATTGATAGGGGAAGAAAGGGAGCTTGAGCTGCTTATATTTCTTACCTTTACAAATAAAATAATATTACAAGTTACATGTTTATGTTAAAATTTGAAAAGGTAATGAAGAATAGTATTTTATTTTCGCAATTGTTGAACTTCTATGTTTTCTTTGTTATGGCTATGGTGTGACGTCACAGTGACGTCATTTCGACACTAGTGGTTAGGTTTTTCGTCAATACGAAGCAAGACTCGTTAGCTCAGTAGGTTAGAGCGCCGATATAATTCAATTCTTGACCATCGGAGGGCGGAGGTTCAAATCCTTCACGAGTCAAACCTTTTTTTAGCAATTTGTAGACACTTTTTCTCGTTTATTAGAGTTTTTACATATTTTAGACTGAGATAGTCATGGCAGAAGACTCTTGAATACACTGATAGTGCTAGACACCGAATTTCTTTTTAGACCTCAAAATAACAAACAAACATGACCAGTTTTGTTCTAACACATTAATGTATGAACAGAAGAAAACATTACCATTCTTTAAGAAATAACACATCTTTAGAGATGATACCTTGTGTTTGAAGAAGATATGTTGTGCAATAACAAGTACTGATCGTTAAATAGTTAAAGGTAGGAAAAAACCTTCTGAGTAGACTGCCACAACATGGTGCATTCTATTTGTGAATTTCATAATTGTAGCCAGATCTACCTAATACTTTTTTGTTCCAACTGTTATACTTTCGTGTGTATGACGTTGCAACGGTTTTGGTTTGAAGCCAAATGTTGTACATAGAATTATCTAGCATTATTTTCAAAGACTAGGCATTATTGATATTATTGTCTGCTGTATGAGTAATCGTGACGTCATCTTCACGATACTGGTCGACAATTTTGGCTTTACAAAGCAAGGCTCGTTAGCTCAGTAGGTTAGAGCGCCGATATAATTCAAATCTTGACCATCGGAGGGCGGAGGTTCAAATCCTTCACGAGTCAGACCTTTTTTAATGGGTTTTTAAGAATGTTGAAAACTTTTTTCTTAATCACACGTTGTATTAATTTCTCAATTTATCAATTTATCATTGACATTTTGACATTTGACATTTTTCAATTTAAAACAAACTTTAAAAAGTGGAAATATCAAATAATCAAAAAATAAAGACGTATTAAAAAAATCTAATTATTACTTTAAAATTCTTATATTCTATTATATTTTTTATTCTTCAAATCCATTTAGTACAATTATGTGAACTTAAGTAAGTTCACATAAGTAAATAAACGACGAAACAACCTTCAAACAGGTCCCAACAAGTTAGCAGAAATGGTACAAACGTGACTAGAATCCCGCCTGGAATTCCAATTACTCAGGCTAGACTGAACCACTTATACCTGGATCTTATTAGAAAAATATGTAGCTCTTATTTAGATCGAAGCAAACTGTTTATAGTGAACTAGATTTATTTGCAGTGGATCCTAAAACTTACGATGCCATTAATTAAAGTTTGGTTATGTCAGTAATGACTTACTGAATTTTACTTTTTGAATTTTGACGCGACAGCGTTCTCTCATCGGTATTGCGGAAAAACACAATAACGTGTTCTGTCCCGATTTGGAGCAGAAGAAGCTACGGTGTATTTTTAATCACCCATGGCAGAAGAAGTAATTGAATGCTGTTCCCCCCTAAAAAATGTAATCATTATTGAATATGAAGAGCTAAGTGGCGTAGTAGCAATATTAATGAGCGTAGACGGAATTGGGCTGAAGCTAATACCAATGTGAAGTTTCAGATAATCTACAGTATTCTTAAGTAAGTTAATCGATTCTGTTTTTATAATAACTATCGTGAGACATACTAAATTAACTAAAAATCGCGGGTTACTCACGTGTATATATTGAGAGCGTCCGCGCACGCTGCTCATGAGGAAGAACCCCTCTGTGGTCCGAAACTAGTAGAGCTTTTCTTAATCGATTTTGCACTCATAAAAAAGAAACACAAGAAAGGATTTCATCTTTATCGTTATTCTATGATGTAGGTAAATACCAATTAATACTTAAAAACATACGCAAATTGTTATATAAAGGCACAATTTATAGGCTGATATCACCAAATTGTTTAGGTTAATTCCTTTTTAGTGTCTACAGGAAATATAAAGAGTGTTTCCGAAATAGTGACCACTTGTACACTAGACACCATTAGACCAGTTCAAGTACGGACAACAACAGTGTAAGTAAATGTTATGAAACCCAATAGGAGACGGTGGTATAAAATAACCCATAAAAATTCAGTGTGCGCGCGCGCGCTGGGTGCGTACAGAGAAACAACGGTTGTGTGCCGAGCTGTACTCGAACAGTGCCGGCTTCATAAGGCGAATATTGTAATTACTAGACATCGCACAAAAACAAAATAAATAGACACTCTTAACTGTGTTTAAGTATGACAGTATGTATGCCCCTGCGATTAATAATCATTTGTGCTTCCACGATCTATAAACTTTGTCTTATTCTAAGAGCGAATAATTATTTAATGGAGAAAATGACAAAAATATCAGACTCTACAAATCACTCCGTTCCTTTTCTTGCTTCGAGCTGCGGTACATAATTGCTACCCTGGATGGCCTATGTATAGATAGGCATATAGCTACAAACACATCAAGCTAAAAAGAAATCAGTATAACTTGGCCGTTGAATGTCTGAACAGATCATTCTAAGCAAGATCTTGATAAACTGGACAGCTTGTTCATGAAGATTATGTTAATCCAATCGCATATCAAATCTACATCAATGGACAAGAACACAACCATTCGAAAACCCATCAACTGGAAAATAATTAGGGATTAAGGAAGTTTCATGGAATGTCTTCGAGCATAACATCGATGGTTATTAATGATGGAGCACGTCACGGCTACATGAGTTACGACCCACGACTAGACATTATCAGAGAAATCGTGAAAGTTAGGAACTAGTAGGGGCAACTGATCGAAAAATAGGTGTGTAAGCGACAATTGGTAGCGTTGACACAAAGTAATTTAAGGTCTATCAGTTAACATCGCTCTAACTTCTTTAAACCTTAAATTAGGTGTTGTAGGTATCCTTGGGGGGCACTGATCACTTAACATCAAGTAATCCGACAGCTCGATTGCCTCCTTTTCTAAAAAAAAATAAGCTTAATGTGCAACTTGTATAGGAGACCAAGACGACGTTAATAAAGTTTGTAACCAATATCCTTAGCTACCATAGGTATATAACTGGCCCATAGTGTCTTCATATAATAGACACGCCCTGGTGGTTATAATTATTTTTTAAGAAACATTTACATGTATATTTGCAAACTCGGCTCTAGAATTGCTATACCGAAACAATGTATCATGTAATATCATCAGAACCTTTTGATTCATAATCTCTGTTTACATTTACTATAAGTAACAACAACTAGACTATATTCATAACCAAATAACAATTAACAATAATTAATAAGGATTGTGGACTACAATTATAACAAGAGTTAAATCCCGTCAACCAAGAACTTGAGCCATGCGACTCACTTAAAATTCATACCATATTTAAGATTGAAGACAATAGTCCGTCTCATAAAGAAGTTCTCACTCGAATAGAAGTAAGCACAAGGCGTACAGGTAGGAACGCGATTCGTCATATACAAGCCTCGCCTCTCGTCGCGCGCACGGTCGGATCCAAGCGCACGCGCATCCGGTGTTGCGCGCACGACATCAGTAATATTTAGAACTTTATGAACTTAAGTTGTGTTGTAATGTGAAGTGATTATTAAAAATAAAAATGGTGGAATTCGCACTGGAAAATGTTTGTATTTTACATAATTATATCTATGTTGTGTATTTTTTCTCTCTCCCATTTTCGGTTTCGAAAATGTGCAGGTTTTTTTGGTAAAGGCTGTATTTATCAGCTGTATCCGGTGTTTTGGGAGAGTGTGTTGGTTGCTAATGGTATTAATATTTAAGTGATGTAGAAAATGTTTGTTGTACTAAACTACTTCTAAAATGATCTAGTCTGCGAGAGAATAATAAGAGACATTAATGTTATGAAATATGAACTCATTAGCGTTACATAAAATAACCGTCGAGTAGGACATTAAATTTAGACAAGCTTATTATGCCAGTATTATGCAAGTATTATGATAGTGGATGCCATACCTAGCAATTAATAACTTTATTACACGGAAGATAGTTTACTATATTAAACAAGCACAGATAATTAATTTCAACAAACTTTCGATGACATTTAGGCCACTTATTTTCTTAATTTCCATCTTTAATTATTAAAGATGGAAATTAAGTGACGCCTTTCACCAAAGTTACCACATTAACAGCTACGAAAAACACAGCTCCTAACAATCCGAGCTCCCTAACAGCCCATTGTGTGCGCTTCCCATGGCACGACTAACAATAACACACGATACTTAATACATACCGTTTCTCACGCAGAACCAGCAGGCTGGCACGTCTGGGGACGGCTTCAGACAGTACCACGAGCAGTACGGCTACATGAACCAAAATCAGGGAGCTGTGCCTAGGAACATGCAAAACTACGACTCTCCAAAACCTCCCATACCAGCAAAGACCTACGGTAAAGTCGACACCCCAAACAACTCACAGCTCATAACAGTGACGGTTGAAACAGGAAAAGATAACACAAGAGACGCCCCGAAAAGTACGAAATCTGTCAGTAAAACGTACCACACACTTAAAGATATGATCTCAAGCAGGTTTAAGAGTAAAGATGCTAATGATGGTGAGAAGAATAATGAACAAGAGCCAAGTTTGAATAACAGCGAAGAAAGAAAGAGACCAGAGAGGCCAGAACCGGAACAAGTGACACCAAGAGAGAATGGACCACGAAAAGTAGAGCAAGGAATATATGGAAGGCCAATGACACAGACGAGACCGGAAATGCAGTACAGCCACGGCATCGCCAATAACATGGCGTATCCTAGTCCTTCGCCGCACAGGTATGACACCTTGTTTTGATAGAGCTTTGTTATCCTCTTCCTTCCAACTAATATCCGTTATGCTATTATGCAGTACCCTAACTGCATAACATTATAATGGCGTTGCATTTCTAAACAATACGACCCAATTTGTTTTATGACGATCGTTAAGTCCATGTATTAAAATAATACTATGCGTTTGTATATTATAGCAACAATGTTGATAATAACATACGACACAGTAATTATATGCCATCCACATCGCATATGTGGGAACCTACCATTTAATATTCATTTTCAATCAGATAAAAGAGTCAATTAAAAGTGAATGAAATACCATTTATCAATTTCAATCAACATAATATCTCTGTACAGAGATTCCAGTTTCATAGCTGTGCCTTCAACACAAGCTAAGAGCTAATAATGATTAATGGTGTGTTGGAAATATTAATGATGTGGATGTTTAACTTCAGGCAACTAATGCAGCAGCAGCAGATGGTACAGTCCCATATGATGATGAGCCCTCAAGCCAGATCACAAGAAATGCTGGCCAGTACACCTCACCGACAACCACAAGCCCTGGGCGCTGATGCTTTATACCAACAGTATGGACCTCCTGGCCGGAGAAGTGCACTGTATCAAAGGGATATGGAAGTTCGGTCCATGGCAAATTTCACATCTTTGAAAACTGGACCTCAATCACAGGTAAGCAAAACTGTTTACCTATCATTTACAACAAAATTAATAACAATATAAACTATTATATAAACTTGCAATTAAGACACAGGTAGATTACTGTATAGATAATAATGAATCGGCGCATAGTGTGTATAAGAGTACAATAAACTCATTTGCTTTAACAATAGACGTTTCAAACAATTAAAACATTGCCGATAGTTTTTCTGACATAAATGACATTTGGAAAGCCAGGTGTTAATGATTTATTATGAAAGGTTGAAGGGAACATTGACATAAATTGAATTATTGTTATTTCAAAAGATTTTACGTAACTTAGAAGTCGGCAGATATCAAAATGTAATAAGTAAGTATATTTTTCAAAAGTGACCTTAACACTTTTTAAATAGGTTGCAAGTAAATTGACGTGAGAAATTAGTTTAATTTCAAAACCTCTAACAAGATCAATGAATTCATACGGAAAATCGTGTTAAAAAGAATCATTACAAGTAATTCTAAGATACATTCTTCAAACAGTTCGTCCAACTGTCGTAACACTTGCAACACAAAGTTCCATGTTCTTTTCTCAGGTTGAAATAATGGTTCTCGACAATTAACGCCTTGTTCCCACGAGTACGCAGCAATTATATTCAGTGTACAAAGCGCCTGCGCCGCCATCTTAGCAAAGATTTTTACTAGATTTATTGGAGCATTGTTCTCTCTTTCATAGTACTTGTATTCGTCCAGTATTCCTTTATTTACATTGTTTATTGTGAAACGCTGTGTGATAAAATTTATAATAGCAATCAATCTATTTACAAGTTTCATGTATACAATGAAAAGTGTCATTTTTGTTATTCTTGAAGTGTAAAACAAGTTGACATTAAAAAAAAGATATCATCATTAACTGCTACCTTCTTTCAATAATCTGGGTAGAAGAGTCTTTCATACTTATAAGTCAAACACCTGGAATATATCGTTAAATCAAAGCACTCTTGAAATACCTAGACACTTTTTATAGACATTCGCATCTGCCAGCATTGAGGAAACCAAACAACTTCGCACTTCCTTTAGCTGTTATAATATAACATGTTTTACAACGAACGCCTAAGGAATATCGTCTACTTTTATTACCACTTCCTCTACAGAATGCGCATATATTTTCCACCATAGCTAATATTAATAACGGGCATTGACTTAGTAGCCATTTGTTTCTATTTGTATTTTATAAGATACGCCATCATTATTCATTATATATGGTCTAAAAATGCAAATATTATGTTTCCAGTTTGATAACTCACATTCAAGACCAGATCTCAGAAGTCCACAGCAATTAGAAAGAGAGATAGTGCGACAAAGAGGCTTTGTAGAAGGAAGACGAGCGGCTTCGCATCCCCACCTTCTAGACGAACCACAACATAGACCAGAGGTCACAACCCCACAGATACATGATCCTGGAAGACGAAACTCACACGGTAATCTTCTAGATCACACACCTAATGAGCATCTGCGGAACGGTGAGGAAAGGGAATCTGATGATGGAGGCTTCCGAGCACGACTAGCAGCTCAAGGTAGATCTAGTTATGAAGAACGTATCAGAACAAGTGGGCGATCAATAGAATCACAAAGGATGCAGGAAAACGTCTACAGAAGAACACCAGATAGTCATAAGGAAAGAAGAACTCCTGATAGCAACAAAGAAAGAAGAACGCCAGACATTCACAAGGAACGTAGAACTCCAGATTCAATAGGACATAAGAAGGATGATCCTTCAACGTCACAAGAGAGGAACGATGAGAGTGCTAGTCAGAAGTCAGCTGATAGTGTTTACAACTCTAGTGGTAAAGCTGAGGCGTACAACCCACAGCCCTCATCATCAAGACAGACTCCAAATAGAATAGAAGATCTCAAAGCACATGGGAAGAAAGGAGCTGGATCGGGAGCTAGCTCAGGTAAAATTTAAAACACTAATATTTAACGTCGAATTAGTTTTCATAGCCTTTAAATTCACTGTTTATTTATTATCTCACTTCTTAATCACCATACTCCACTAACGAATTAAAATATTTGTTACCTCATAAAAAATTATACCCATCGTAAATCTTTTGAAATGATACCCAAGTTGACGAAGTAGGAAAGAAACAAATTACGTAGTCGTTAAAACCACATTTTTATGTCTTTAATTGGCTACAGTGTATGTAAATTCAAACTTTATGGAACCATTGACATAAATGGTTTTCTTACAATACAAATGAAGTACCTAACAGGTTTTATTGAAATTATAAAAAGTCACGCTTCCGTAATCCTTCATGAATAGAGCTAACGCTACATCAACTTTTAACTAAAAGCTATTTTTTAATGGTTAGATAAAAGGTTCCTGAGGAATAATTATGATGCTGTCGCGTCAGTATGTTTGTGTGACAGCAACAATTTTATTTAACATCAGCCCTATATGAAACAAATAAATCCTAGCCTAAAGGAATTTTAATCCTCTTACAAATTCTGTATTGCCCTACAAAGACATCTTTTAAAATGTTTCAGACTATGACAAAAACGGAGGCCAATCATCTAATGTGGACTCTGGTCGAGGCAGCGTGGCGTACTCCAGTGGACGGCGACCAGAGCCGTTGCATGATACCTCAGCAGATTCAGATGCACAAGGAACCAGACAACCACAGCCTGGAACCAGCCAACAACCTCCAGGACAAAGTACGTTAATACTATTGATACTACAGCAATGCCGAGAAATACGAGTAACTGAATTTTACACTTGACGGCTAGGTTGGTGCGGTGACTGGGCAACTGGTTGCGGCACAAAGTGTTTTGGGTGGTATGGTTCGATTCCTGCACGGAACAACTCTTTGTGTGATCCACAAATTGTTGTGCCGTGTCTGGGTGTGATGTGTATGTGAAATTGTATGTTTGGTAACACACCCACGACACAGGAGAAAATCCTCGCGGGGAAACGTTTATATACAAAATAATACTTTATCGTATTTGTAATGGCTTAAAGTTGTGTATAGCTTTACACTGAATAACTTTAATTACCTCGTCATCCTACAAGTACCAAATACTTAACAAAAACCTCACATGGATAAAGTTTGATCTGTAATCACCACGCTCGCTCAAGGCGGATTGGCGATTTCAAACGTATTGTTAGAAATTATAAGTCCACGTTTCTTCACAATGTTTTCCTTTTCCGTATGTCTGTGGTGTTTAAATAATCATAGAAAGTACACATAATTCGGAATAAAATTCAAGTCTTAATTGATGTATCTCATGTTTCCAGATACAGAGAACGATTGGGTAGAATGTGAACTTCGCCATATTCTGGAACCGAAGCTAGCAGGGATGCGTCTGGACTCATCAGCTACTTCCGACACATCAGTCACACCACCGCTGCCACCACTATCGCCGTCCTCGGATATGCATAAGAGAAATAGGTAAAAATAAATTCGAAGTCAACTCATGTGAAGCACTTTTGATCGTCAACGATTAACATTAGCTGTGATTTTTTTTGCCTAGTGAAAATTACTTTCCTTCGCTTGTTTTTTCATCATTGAAACAAAATAGGTACATGGAGACCAACAGAAGCATTGCCATAGTTTACATGTACGATAAAATTGTCTAATGATTGATTTTGTAGCCCAGTTTTAAATTATCGTTATCGTTTCTATACATTACATTCATGTTTGATTAAACGTAACTTTTTCTGTATTTGCAATAAACTGATAAAATAACCATGTAATCTTACCACCTGTAATTTTACCTCACCATCCGTTGTTTTTTCAGTCTTCCAGGTCGATCGTCAGAGTACCCAGACGAAAGGCGCCGTGGTCGCGAGTCACCGCGGTGGCATTCTCATAAGAAGCACTCCTCCAAGAGAGATCATCATTATAAAAAACATTGTAAGTGATAATTAGCTATTTCCGTGAAATAGGCAAGCTGTCGTCGCCGCCGACTTGACATACTAAAGGAGATTGTGTTGTGATTGGCTTTTAGGGATTTAAGGATAGGGCGGGGGAAGGATCAGGCTCAGGATCAAAAACTAAACGTTGCTTAACGCCGGTATTCCGTGAGGCCGTGATATTATTTCGGTCGAGCCGACCCATTACCGCCAAAACATTTCTCCCTAACGCTTAACACCTTCGCCCTCCTGGTCTTAGTTCTCTAGGTCTCTATAATAACCTTTAAATTTACCATATCATTATTTTACTTGCAAAACGAAAGTGTTTAAATTTTGAATGATTCCCTATCATAATTTGCAAAAAGGGTCAATATATTCGCAATGGGCCTACCCGATAAATTTATGTTGTGTACATATTTCATATAAATAACGTTAATTTATCTGGTAGTTAACGGATATACATACAATGTAAAAGAAGCGCTAAATCTGATAACTCAATAATATCGAAATTTTGTGGGTAAACTCATATTCTAGGTATCTTTGATAAACAAAAGTAACTAAATAAATGCTAAATAAAGATAAACTTTCCAGAAACACATAAAAACAAATATTTGTTTTCGAATGACCTGCAGATATAACTGTTCCGGGTCGAGCACATTATTATAATAATTATACCAAAAAGAACAAAAAATCTAAACTTTGACAACTACCTACACAAAAATTTGGAAGTTTGTACTTCTTTTTGTTTTATGGGTAATTTTGGCAAATATGCAGACCTGATCCTGATGGTAAGCAATCACTGCCACTGATGGACACCCGCAACACCAAACGAGGTACAAGTACGTGATGACCTTTTGTGGGTTCTTAGTGCTTGGGGATGGAGTGGATTAAAGCCCCTTTATGAATTTGATTATGAACCAGTCATGGCTATCATTAGATCAGCCTAAAGATGTCCACTACTGAACATAAGCTCTCAACTAACTTTAAATAAACCCTTACTTTCCAGTATTTGGTCTGGACACCACTGATATGACGTCCACCACAACCAGAAGCTTGGACCTATCGTCTCTACTTGAGGGTCGATCAGACAGTTCATCATCAGGCGACGCCCGCGCCATCCGGAGGCAGTTGCGTGGTTTGGAGAACATGTATGCCGAAGTGCTGCAGCTGCTTGGAGTCAGGAAACCAGCCAGCCTTGCTAAACAACCTACTTGGGAATCTAGGTGGGTGTAGATATAGACCAAAATCAAGAGAATAGTGCTAGAAAAAGAAATTGGTCATTAAATGTCCTTTCTTGTCTTCTTTTTCTTACTTAAATAATGAACTGTATTGCCATTCGTTGGTCTCGCTAAAACTCGCGAACTACGGCTGGACCGATTTGGCAAAGTAGCATTATAGGTATTCGTAGGAGTCCGAGGAACCCTAGGTCTGAAAACGTTTTCAGGCAGTTCGCCGGACCAGCAAAAAACCATTTCAAAAGTCGTTCCACAATAAACAGCTTTAACAATTCATTAATAGTTGGTAATTTATCCTTTGAATTACGGATAATAAGCTTATATTCTCTTGATTGTTTTTACATGATTTCGTTTCTAAATATCATAGCACTTGTTTCCAGGCTATCATCAAAGCGTCGGTACGGCAGCATGTCATCACTCCCCTCCAGCTCAGTGAGCAGCCGACCAGTAAGAGACAAGAGAAGGAGCTCCAATGATCATAGGAAGAAACATGACTTGAAGGTAGGTCTTATCAAACATTAAACATGCACATATATTTTATATTCATAATCTGTATTACAATTCATCATCAGCAATTTTTTTTTACTGCTGAGCAAAAGACACTTCTCACACGGAGAAGGCTCAAACCATTAATCACCACACTAGCTCAAGGCGGATTTGCGATTTCAAACTTATAATTAGAAATTACAAGTCCAGGTTTCCTCACGATGTTTTCCTTCACTGTATTTCAGTGGTGTCTAAATAATCATAGAAAGTACATATTACTGGGAAAAAGTCACATTGGTACTTGCCAGGTTTCGAACCCGCACCCACTAAGTATTAGATTGCACAAAAATTGGCAATACGAAACAGGAACATTCAGAACTCTCTATATACGTATATGCATCCAGCACCATATAAAAGGCCTTATTGATTCTTCCCCAGGGTATAAACAAGCGGTTCCAACGCCTAGAGTCGCACGTGGTGACGCTGGCGCGGTCGGTGGCACACCTCTCCAGCGAGATGAGGACCCAGCACCTCGTCATACAGGAGATGGACAACATCAGAGCTGAGATCGCGGCGCTCAGGCATATGTACAAGTAAGTTTTTGGACATGTGTTCAAGTAAGCTGTCCCGTACGGTATTCACCTCTCTTTCTAAAACTTTTGTTTGGGATGACGATAAGCAAAAAATGATTAAAATCACTAAGTGGACAACGACTCAATGACTTAATCGCTTCACCGCCTCTCCAATACATAACCTTAAGCAGGCACCTGTGTTCTCTCTTATCCACCCTATTATAGACCATAGTTCCAATGTTTCAAGAATTTAGTTGTGATGATTTTATAATTAATGGTATGGTATTTTAGGTTTTATTTGTAATACCACTAACATTCCTAATAATAACCAAGGAGGCCCAATCCTTCCCCTTCCCCAATCCCTCCTCAATCCCTAAATCTCCAAATCCCTAATCTCTTAAAGGTCGGCAACGCACTTGTAACTCCTCCGTTGCGAGTGTACATGGGCGGCGCTGATTGCCTACCATCAGGTAATCCGTCTGCTCGTTTGCCGACCTATTACATAAAAAAAAAATACCAGATCACGGTGGTTCAGACTTTAATAGCTCAACTTACTATCCCAATGAGAAGTCAGCGTCGTTTTCCGTAACTCACCTTATAAGATGGATTTCTTGAGGTATTATTTTATACAGGAAGGACTCCAGCGATCATCCTCATCACATCCATACATTATTATCTATTATTTATCTTTTGTTAATTTCTCGTCTTAATTCCAGGTCTCAGCAGTACATTCGGTCAGGCAGCCACGGCCGGCACTTAGACCCCTACTCGTTCAGCAATCCTGACAGAGTGAAGCGGCTCACCAAATTCTTCGGAGACGAGCCGCCCCTCATGAGACTGTTCTTAAAGAAACTTGGATATGAGGTGAGAGACAGCGTTTATACACTACAGTTGTTAATATTGAGCTATACTTGTTCATACTAATACTATAAAGAGCCAACATTTTTAAGTTTTGATGTAGGGAGTAAACCCTTGGAACAGCTGATCGGATTTCCAAAATTCTTTCACTGATCCTGATCCAACAATGTTCCTAAGTAATATAGATTATACTTGATTTGAGTATTTCAATGGAGCTTTCGCTTTAAACGCTGCCGTTTTTAAACTCCTGGGATACATTACTTTCATTGGAAACTAGTAGGAAATTTAAATATTTATTCATAGTGCCGTCATGAGTCAACAATACCTGTTTATAGCAATATATACAAGTTCTAAAGCTTTCAATTGCAAGGTGTATACAAAACCCAATTTACACACATATAACGAATATTAAAAATGTTAATGTGCTTTTCAGAAATATGCAGCTCTTTTGGAAAAAGAGAAAGTTGGTGCGGCTGAACTGCCGTACGTTGGTGAAGACAAACTCCGAGCATTGGGCGTCCCCCTAGGTCCTAGAATGAGGATATTAAAAGAAGCTGGCATCCACCAAGACCTTCACCACATGTCCAGAGATGACCAACATAACACAACCACGACGCTAGCAATTGTTTGATATTGAACCCTATTATATTGAATTAAGAACTCTAACGTGTTGTTGAGAAGACTGAATTTGTATCGAAGTAGCTCAATAAGGCGTGTATTATAGTTTGTAATAAGTATTATTATTAGATAACGTTGGTCGGACGAAAAGAATTTTCATAATTCGAACAAGAAAAATAACTTATATTTTTCTCATAATAATTTCAATTCAAAATGGATTCACACACATCATGTTTAAAAATAGAACAGTTTTTTTTTCAATAGTAGAGGCTTGCATTTCGCTTTGCTATGAGCTTCTTTCTGAGGTAAATCCTGCATGGATGATACCTTTAATAATACGGTAAGTATTTAAGCATGCATAATGAAGATTGGAAACAAATAAAATCTAAAAGAGAACAATTATGACAACAATATTATTATGTACTTTTAAATTATTCCAACAAATAGTCCAACCTGCCTTTCATTTATTATTTTAACGTTCTTGGAATTCTTTCTATTTTCAAAACAATTTATATTTACGGGTATTTAATAATGAACAATAAAAACGATACAACGAAACATGATATTTCGAGAATTATTTTATTTTTATAAGATAAATATAAGATCATAAATATTTGTTTACAAATTTTAAATAATTATACAAAACAAAAACGTTTCTTTTAACATTATGGTTTTTTTCTTCATTCTTGTAACCCGCGGGCGCCAGCATATCAAGTTACCCCTACCTTTTTAAGATTTTGAACGCTAATTATGTGTATTACGATTAAAAATCCATTGAAGATATTCGATAGACTTGAGCATTTTGATATGCGATGTGTCTGGTTTAGCTTAACGACAAGAACTAATTTATCTCAGTATTCAGAAAGTGAATACTTAATTTTTAAAATGAGCATTGAGAATTGTGTTCTATTAAAAGTTAAATAAAGTTGAAAATAGCTTGGAAGTAGATATTATTACTTGTTGTAGGTATGTAACGAAATTATCGCAAGTTATGTAAAGGTCTATAAAATATCTAAATGTAAACAAAAAAAGTGTTAAAGATATATTTATGTAGGTAACAATAATTAAAATGTACGAGAGTCTTTCGCAAAATGTCGGCTTAAAAAAAAGTTAATAAAGATTTACACAACGAATCAATATTAAAACTACCATGACATTACAAAATTAATAATCAACTAAATGATAAGGCTCACTCAAAAAACAGTTCAACGAGGTTACTCGATCACTTTCAAACCACAGTAGGGGCCCATAAGCACGAACAGAACGCTCGCTCCACAATATCTATGAAATTATAATTTTAATTAATATTTTTAAAGCAAGTTTCCATTTTAAACCCCAAAATATCATCCAAGGCTATGAATAAAACAAATCCATATAACTCATATTAAAATAATATAAAATGTAATTAATTAAAATACAATAAAGTACTCAGAAATGATATGCCAAAGAGTATTCTCGGCGTATGTAAAAATATGTAATAAATTGTATATAATAGTTTGTAAATAGAAATAAATTAAATATTAAGTTAATTTGTTAGGTACACGAACAACGAATATTGTAACAACTTACTCATTTTTTTAGTAATTTTATTTTTTCCCCCTGTATATTTGAGGGACGTTTATGTAAATATTATAAGTATGAAATAAAGATATTTTACAATAAAATGTATTTTATTTATTTATTTATTCTAAATATTACAATACTTGACTGCATGGTTGGCGCGGTGGCTGGGCAACTAGCTGCTGTGCAACGTATCGCGGGCTCGATTCCCGCACGAAACAACACTTTGTGTACTTAATCCACAAATTGTTGTTCCGGGTCTGGGTGTGTTGTGTATGTGATATTGTATTGTGCTGTTCACAGGAGAAAATCCTAAAGTGGGGGGCAACGACTTATATACCTATATATCTATATAAAAAACTTGTAGCTTAGCATAGAAATTACAATAAAAATATGATACATAAAAAATCGAGCCATTTTTTCCGCTGGTAAATTCGCTCGCTACAGAAATTAACCGGTGTTGCAGTTCAAACGCAAGAATGTACCGCGACCCCAGTTTGTAACAGGAAAAGGAACATGGCGGTTTTTAATCAATAAGAGTCTGACGAGATCATGTCTAAATCTTACTAACTCTCCGATGGACACACGGAATTTGACATTTATTTCCTCAATAATAAAACAGATATTTCTTTGAAGTTCAATGACTTATCTATGTTTTGTTTTGTAGTTACTGTTTGCTATGGTTTAATCCTGAATTTGAAGAATCTCGAACTGAACTTAGTACAACAGTACTCAAATTGCTTAGACAAAATGATAGACAAAACTATTACAGTGTAGGTATTAGATAAGTGTACAGGAAAACGATTGATTCATACATACAATAAAACAATTAACTACAACTAAGAAATCATTAGCAAACGAAGTGCATAATCAGTGCAAACTAATAATTAATCAAATGCACCCAAATATAACGATAAAGTATTAGCAAATAGCATGCATTAGTGAGACGCACATTGACCGCTACTAACACGGCTCAGACACAATAAACAGCGTCATTATTCACAGTTTATCAGTAACACGACGGAGTCGGGTCGTAATGTCAGCGACGTCTTAATATAATCGTCCTGTCCTCTTGTGCTGCCGTCACTCGAAGCCCGACAGCATCATGGCCGTCCCACGCGTCATCCTTTTCGCTGCCCTCCTCGCCACAGCTTTGGCAGACGATACAACTTTTGTTAATTGCGCCGAATGTAAGCTACATTTTTCTTTTCTTTATTTTTGCACGTAAATTTTTGTTCAATACTTACATTATTTAATTAAACTGATTTTTCATTGGTTAGATAAAAGTTACCTGGGGAATAATCATGATGTTTTCGCCTCAGAATACTTGTATCAGACAGTGACAGCAACAATTTTATTCCACAGATAACATTTCGGTATCTAGCTATTGAAAAATCAGCCCTAATTTTAAAAATAGAAATGGACAACGTACTTTGAACTTTTTTAGAATTTACCTGAAGTTTGTAATGAAGCTGTAATCTGGTGGATTATTGAGCTTTCTTTTTTATTTATTGAGAGTTAAGCGTTTGGTAATATTGGACCAGTGAACTGGCATGGGTTCATTGACACATGTATATTACTTAAATGGAGCATCCTTTATAGGGAAACTTTACAATACTTAGAGTGTTGTTGTGTAGAAATTTATGATTTTTTATATTTAATAGTTTTACGAATATATATTAACCCTAAAATATCAAAACAAGAAAAAGTAAGAAGAAGTGTACACATTAAGTAAGGTATATTGTCATCCCATAATGTCATCCCATAACCAATGAAAAACAGTTTCATTAAATAATTACAGTGTTTAATACGCCTTAGTGGTCATACCCATATCCCAGACATTAAAAAGCAATTTACCATGACTAGAATTGCAAATAAATAATAAAAATTAAACTGGATAATTTCAGCCAAAAATAAAATTATCATCCCTTTAATTCATGAAACCCCAAGCGAACGCGTTTAAGCACATATTGTTCTTTTATTGTATCCGAATTACCAAGATTGTAAGGTTAAAATATCAGTACCTACGAAAAACAAAATACCCAACATTTATTACCAGAAAAATGCGGATAAATCCTGCTGCGTTTTGTTTAATAAAATCATCAGATGACGTTGTAAACATTTGTGTTATCTGTAGTTCCTATAAGTAATAGGTAATATAATTACGTAAAGCAATCAATAATATTATGAATAGGAAAGTATTGTAAGGCTAGTCTACCTAGACATATCAGTCACGTCACATAAATAAGTATCATTGCATCAGTCGCAAAGCACCTCAAGAATTTCCCTAAGGGCTGATTTTTCAATAGTCAGCTAAATGTTATCTAGGAATAAAATTGTTGTTGTCACTGTCTTAGACAAACATTCTGGCGCGTCAGCATAATGATTTCCCAGGCAACTTTTATCTAACTATTGAAAAATCAGCCCTTAGGGAAATTCTTTAAAGTAAAAGTCAAAAATCATTTATTTCAATTAGACCCTTACAGGCACTTTTGAACGTCAAACAAATTTTGAAGATATAGTGTCAGTCTGTCGGTCAGTCCTCTTAGTGAAGCTATTTGCTCGTTCCAAAGTGTAGATTCCGATGGAGCAGAACGAGCAAGAAACTCCATGGTTACTCCTTTTAAATCAGTTTCACATACAGATTCCTTTTACAAACAGTTGGTTCAATTATGTGAGAACAGTGTAACACTAATATTTATTCAGAAAATTTGGGTGTCGTCAAGGCCCGAGAAAATAATGCTTGCCATCATAATAATTCTTGCCATGCCATCGTAAGCTGTCATCGCTTACCACCAGGCGTGATAGAAGTTATTAGTGAGATTTTAGAACATTTTGTTTTTGTAAATTTTCTAGACTTTTTCGATTTTGTTACAACGTTTCCTTAAGCTACATTTCTGTTTTAAAATGTCATTGAACAGTCAAGTTATTTAAGCATTTTATGGTTATTTTGGACATCATTATGGAAGCGAAATTGAACTTAACCAACACCAAGGATGCCTTAAATTTTAAGTATTCTACAAAGCTATATGTTTTTTTAAATTATTGATTGAATATAAGGCCAAGCCTAGATTGGCCTATAGGGTGAGAAGACCAAGGACTTGTAAAAAAAGAAACAAAAGCCAAAAACGTGTGTAGGGTTCCGTAGTTTCCCGTCTGTCGTAATAAGTCACCCCCTTAAGATTTATATTGTAAATCTTAAAATGTAATTCAGCGTAATTAGCAAAATACAGCGCCATCAATGAAACAATGAATTTATTTTTGCAAATAGGCCATAAAACGGCACTTTTACACGTCAATTTATAAGTGAAAAACTAGATGAAGCCGGCATTTTCTATCTGACTACTCTGAGAAGAAATGCCGAAACAAACTCATCTCTTAGGGAATTGGGTTACTAATTTATATAAACTATATATTTTTTATGTGACAGAAGATATAGTTTTTAAATAATAGAATATACAAACACTTAATTTTAAAAAATGGTCACAAAATAAGTCCAGATTTTTTTCCGTACAATATTTCAAAAGTTTTCTTTAGAAAGTATTTATAAAGTTGTACGTATTTTCGAGATTTTTTCCATATTTTCTAAAGTTTATGGTTCAAAAGTTAAAGGGGGACGCATTTTTTATACTTTTGGAGCGATTAGTAAATATCTACAATTTGATATTCCTAGTTTACTACGGATCCCTAAAAAGGGTCAAAGACAACTTAACCTAAATCTCTCTAAAATAGAAACTAATCATTCTTAAAGTCGGGGTCAAATGGTAAAACACGCACACATTTACGCAATTCCCTAAGTACAACAGTACTGATGCGCCCCCTATGGTAATATCAGTGAACTATGAGACGGATGTCTCCGTAATCACCGCGATGGTCACAACACACGCACAATACACTGATAAAACTCAATTATTTTCTTAAACATTACTGTGAACTTTACATTTTTGATAATAAGTTCACTTTAGTTATAACTATTTATTAGATTAGGTTTTTTTCTTTCGGTACGTAGGTATTTAAATTCATGCTCGCAATCGTTTATTTTTTGTTCGTATTTTTGCCAGCTAACGCTGCAATTTCATCCGTATTCGCCGTCGTCGATTTTTTTTTAATGTAATAAATCGGCAAACGAGCAGACGGATTACCTGATGGTAAGCAATCAACGCCGCCCATGGACACCCGCAACGGAGGAGTTACGAGTGCTTTGCCGACCTTTTAGGGATTAGGGATTTGGAGATTTAGGGATTGGGGAAGGGTCCGGGAAGGTGAAGGATTGGGCCTCTGGTAACCTCACTCACACGGCGAAACACAACGCTGTGGTTGTTTCACGCCGGTTTTCTGTAAGGCCGTGGTATCACTCCGGTCGAGCCGACCCATTCGTGCCGAAGCATGGTTCTCCCACACTTCTTGGTCTGTTTAAATCTTGCAAAACAGAAAAAAAATTTTTTTTTGAAAAAATCATGAAATAAATCTTCAAACTTTCAAAAAGCGTGCCTAGTCCTTCTTTAAAGGCTTCTTTCCATCTGATCCTTTGCCTCCTATTATCTCCAATAACGTATATTGATCATATTATCTACATTAAAAAAAAACGTGGCCCCTCTCTAGGATTTTCTCCTGTGTCGTGGGCGGTTACAAACATACAATTATACATACACATGACACCCAGATCCGGAAAAACAAATTGTGGATCACACAAAGAGTTGTGCCGTGCGGGAATCGAACTCGCGTCACGTTGCACGGCAGCCAGTTGCCCAGCAACCGCACCACAACATTATTCTATACTTATGTACCTACTTACATGCAGGTAGCATCGAATAATGTTATTTTAAACTTTATTCGATTTTAAACAGAAAATACATTGATGTTTCAGCTGACCCCAATGTGTGCCAAGTGTCAGCAGTACGGATCACTCCGTGCCGGAACCCAGGCAAATCCTGCACTCTCAAGAAAGGCACAGACGCCTCCATCTCCTTCGATTTCAATCCAAGTAAGTGCTTATACCGTTTTTAACTTGCCTTGCTGCCTTATATATTTTAAAATGCCATGTGTATTGTATGTATTTCCTAACACCAACTCAATATACAACCCATGAAGTTAGGGCCCAATAGGGCTGATGGTCTTCTTCTTAGTCGTGTACTCTTGACAGAGTGGCCGTGGTCATGTGTCGGTTGAGTCTTGCGCCTCTTTGGCTTGGGGTGATGGTCAGCCGGTGTAAAAACAATCATGCACCCTCGACCTCGGCCTGGAGCATGAGATGGAACAAGGGATCAGCAACTGTTACTGACGGAAACCCCCCGTTCCATATTTGGTGTTTTAGGCCCCTTCTTTAGTTGTCTATTTATTGGTTCTTTAAGTCGCGAGTCAGTAGGAGTCTGACACTCCTTTTCGCCCCGTCCAGGGTTAGAGATATAATTTGAACATTTTTAACTCATCAAAAAATATATATACAACCCACATAAAATCCAGGTCCGAAACCAGAATTCCCGGTTGTTCTGTGCACGCTGGAATATCTGGATCCTATTTTGTATAAAAATAGGACCCATAACGCATAACTCTGTGTCATTCTATGTCGGTAGGAAGTCAAGTTTTAATAGTGATGAACAGCCAAATATTCACTCCATGATCATTGATCAATGATCATTGTTGCCTGACGCAAAAATAAAAAAGAATACACTCCAATAATTTTCTGTTTCTTTCAGACTACAGTGCAAGCAACCTGAAAACGTACGTGTACTGGGACAGTGGTTCCGCTGACCTTCCGTTCCTGGGCTTTGGGTCTGACAATGCCTGCACATACACCTCGTGCCCCAGCGTGGCTGGCCAGGCACAGACCCTCAACTACTCCTTGCATCTCCACAAGAAACTGCCATCGGTAATAATTTAATTATTATATTTTTAGAGTTTTCCCTAATCCGTCCGTGACCAGATTATTTATGTAAGATTTATGTAAGAAAATTACAAATGGACAGGTTTCAATTACATATTATTATTGTAAATAAAAGCATCTGGTAGAGAATGCCACGTAGCATTAAGTCCGCCTTATGTTCAACTTTTTTTAAAATTAATATTTAAAATATATAAATAATTAAAGTGGTTTCTTAAAATAAAAGCTCTCTGCTCTGTTTAGCTACATCGTGTTGTGGATAAAAAATGTAATCATTGAAACAAAAATGTTGATTATAACAAGTATTACTTGTTATTCGGTGATGAGTATTAACTTCATTTCATACATGGCTCAAACTCAACTTCATCTCTCATAGCCTGGTGGTTATAGATATTTGTTTTTTTTTATTAAAAAAAATGACGATTTACGATTACCGATATCTATATCATGGTATTAATAATTCTAAAATAAATACAATAGAACCTATTTCACTTTAAAACTCTAATCTAGACGCTCGGTATAAACGGAATAAAAAAAGTGAGCATAATTATGGAATTGACAATAACGAATATAATTATTATTCCAAAGCATTCCTATCATCCACATTCTGTGATAGACCAGTTCTGTTCTGAATGTAACAAAAATTGTGAAAAACAATATTTTTTTTCAGGGCAATTTCAAGCTAAAGTGGAAAGTCTGGGATGACGACCAGAAGGAACATGTCTGCTGCTTCACCACCGACATTAAATTGGTTAAGTAATTTAATCGTATCTAAATAAATGTTACCTGTATATAATAACCACTCTGTTGTTTGATTCATCATCAATTTACCCTTGGTAGTTTCAAGCTGGATATGGTTAGGTTAGACCTTGTCCACGTGGTCTCTATAACCAGTTAACGACTTTATCTGCTCTGAGTTTGGCAAGAGGAAGTTTCAGACCCTTACTGACTTAGAACCAACCAGTTCCATTCTTGCTTTGAGCCAAGCCACATTATTGTGTTTTGCGCGCAACCCCGGTCTGGCATGGGCCCTAGTGGACCACCATAAATGGGGCCGTAGACCTTCTTCTTAAAATTCTTTTTTAAATAAATCGACTGTCACAAACTCATTAGATGCTATAAAACCATTGAGTATAAAATTTGTAATCCGTATTTTTCAAATATATTTTAAATATTCATGCTAAAATAAGGTAGGTATACCTAAGTTCTTCATAATTATTCCTAATTTGTATTTACTGTCTATAAGTATAAGTATAAGCATAAGTTTATCTGGTAATAATATAAAGGACATGAAACAGAACCTAAATAAGTCATAATAAAAAAACCGAACTAAGGCATTTATTTGTCTTTTTTTGCAAATACATCTATCGAATTTTTATAATGATTTACCCAATATTTATAAAGCCACCAACATTGCACAGGTGTCTTGGCTTCTACGCATAATAAAAACAAAAAGCAGAAAACTAGAATAGTTTTCATTTTTGTCAGAAAGATAATAAAATTTAGATCTATGTATATATGATCATGAAGAACGAACGATAAGCTTCCAGTAAATGTACCGAGTAAAACATCCTTTACTCTTTTAATTATAAACAGATTAATTAACTAATTTTGGGCTACAATCCCGTATTAATTTCAAAACAAAGACCACCTTCAAACTTGTAACCTCCTTATTAATTTTTAACAGCTTGGCAACGCACTCGGTCTCTGATAACTTACCATCAGACAGTTGCCACAATATACTATGTGTAACTACTATCAGTATTTGGGAAGTTTAATAGGAAAGTTGATTTGAGGTACGATGGGGCTGACATATCCCTTTGGACAAACAATCAAAAAAAAGTTTGTAGTAGTGCCACGATATTGCAAAGCTGTCCACTGACTGAATTAAAACCCCCCGTTCCTTCTCCTGGTCTAGGCCGAGACCTTATTGCGTTTACCCCGCAACCCCGGCTGAACATCAGTCCTATAGGGCCACATCTATGATGGTCTATCTATTGTATCTTTGAGGCGAGCGCGAAACTCAACGCGCCATACGTTTGGACATACGGTGACTTGGAGTTATGATTATGATGTCGAAATTACTAATCTGCCGTCGACAAGCGTAGTAATTGCTAAAGAACCTTTTGCTTAGCAATGGGCACTTATAGGTTGATAATCTAATAGTAAACATACTAAGAAGAAACAACAATAAAATCATAACCCTCCTTTTTCTATTCAGTAGTCGATTAAATGAGTACACTTAGTAACACACACTAAACAATATTAATGTATTTACAAACAAATAAACAAACTACCTCGTTAACTTCGTATTATCTATTTGTAATAGAACCAATTAGACAAAGCTTAAACACTGATTTGCTAATTTGATTAACAAATCACCTGTCCTTGTGCATGATGAAAAAATGGCAGATTTTAAGAAAATACTTAGGTAACATACCTATAAAAAATTAGCAAAAAAACACACGTTTTGTTATGACCACTGATGACCTCTTCTAAGAAAATTAATAAGCATTTTCAATCTAGTTCGTGTAATGGCTTTTAATTGGAATTAAAACTCAATTTTTCAATCTCACTTAAAGTAGTATTCGCGAATGTAACGGAGTATTGAATCAGAAATCCATTCGTTTGCACACTGTTACATGTGTGCACAAGTGTACACACATGCGTAATAATGAGCAAACATAACATTAAACACAAAAGACCACATTCCCATTTGTTATCAATTACTGACATTAGCGCTCTAACACACTGTTAAGAAACTTCAGAATACCAACTAGTTTTTTTATAGGGTAAGTCAGCAATTGACCTGCAAGCTCCTCAGATTTTTAAAAATGGCTTGTAAAATTGCTTCTCCCGCCCAGGGTGAGGCGAGTTGTTTTATCACCAGTTGGCAATCAATCGGCGCCGCTCATCGGCAGTTACAAATTCGCTGGAAGCCTTTTCTGAGTTATTAGGGATTTGAGGATTGGAGCTTCAGGTAACTTCACACACTCAAAGCGAAACGCAATCTGTGTCAATCAAATTTATGTGTGGGACAGCCATGCTTCGGCGCGAATGGGTTGGATCACTCCGGAACTTGAAACAACGTTGAACGGCGTGAAACATCCATTGCGTTGTGTTTCGCCGTCTGAGTGAGGTTACCGGAGGCCCAATCCATCCTGTCTCCAAATCCCCGATCCTAAACGTAACGTCTAATGTTGTTATGGGTGTCCATGGGCGGTATTGTTTGCTTACCATCAGATACAAAAAAATCATCAATCAAAGTAACTGAAATTATTAAATTAATTTTATTGAAGACACAAGAATAGATGTCCCAAATCAAATTCCTCGTCGCACTGTATGAAATGCATTGGTCTCTAGACGGACCCAGAATAACTATAAACAACAATTCAGACGTAACAGAAACATGACATGAGAGAAATAATTCAAAACTTTCGAATCAAATGGACACAATAGGTCAGCTCATTAATTAGGTACTCTGATGCGAAAAACTGCGAAAATTTGGTTGTATGGATGGATGTTTCTGAATGAAATTTGGAACTCAGATGATACAACCCACAGGGAACTTTTCGATCCTGGTATTACAGACAAAACCGCTGGCAAAAACTAGTAGTTACATAATGGACGAACATGCACAGTCCACGTGACCTATATCATAAGCCACCAGCAATACAAGAAATCTAAATATAGGTTCTTGATTCGGAATTTGTATTAATCTACTCTTACTCTAATAAATATTAAAAACAGGTTGTATAACAGGTTATACAATAGAGAGGTACAGCTGTATAACTAGGTAGGTATGCGAGCAAGTAGCCAGTCTAAAACGATCAGAATCAATTCGTCGCAAAGTGTGCGTCGAGCGCGAAGCGCATGAGAGTGTACAACGCATTGTATCGACTTGTCCTTCTACTTCAATCTATTTTGCGGTCAATAGGACCATTATATTATCACAATAATAAGTTAGTGTACGTCGGGTGATAGCGCAGAGACGTTGCGAACATGAGGGCTTTCGTACTGCTCCTAAGTCTTGGATTTGTAGCTGGTGAGTCGGAATATGTCACCAGAAAACTCTGCAGAGCTGGTGAGTTGATTTATTTATTCTTTCACAGTTTTATGGGCTTTCCTATCGCAAAGTTATCATTTTTAAAAGACGTTTTCAATTAAAGTGATTTTTACTAGACCTCGCTTCCTTTTTCTCGGATGTTGACCTATATCAAAATGGGTCGCGCTATTGTAGATTTATCAGAATCACCCTTGTACAATTTCGTTAAATGGATTCGACATTGTGCATTTGAATAGCTAGCTGATGCAGGTTTGTTTTAAAACTTTTCAGAGACATAATTACTTAAGACTTAGGTAATATTTTAGAAGATTTCTTTAATTAATTGATGATGTTTGTTTTGCAGTGGATGCATCGCAGTGCAGCATCCACAGTGTCATAGTGGATCCATGTCCCCAAGGACCTGCTTTTTGCACCCTGAAGAAGAACAAGGCATACGGCATCACACTGGACATGACTCCACGTAAGTAACTTAATATTTATCATGTTTATCTAGAACGCAAGTTCGCTTGACAATTTCTGGTAATTTCTTTGAAAGAGAATTCCAATCTCGGCTGAGCTGCGTAGTTTGTAGTGCAGGCAAAGAAACTAGTTTCTTATGCGTTTTGACTGAAAGTTGTATATCGAAGAAATGTTTACTTGTGCATCTGTGCAATCAAAAGTATTATGCCAAATGAAAATCCGAACGTATTTTGGACATCGTGCTCTAAAACAGTTTTGCTTTAGCAAATCAAGCCTCTTTTGTATGACCTTGAAAATATATACACTGTAACTTTAATAAACTAGTGAATTATTAAAGAATTCGCAAATCACCTATGATCATTTGCAGATTTCCCAGCGGATAACTTGAAACTCTCAATCACAAGTGATGTAAACAACAGTGGAGACTTCTCAACACTCATCAAGGCTCCTAGCGATGCCTGCAGACTTCTGACCTGCCCCCTCGAAGCTGATCAAAGAAGAATCTTCGATGTGGACCTGATGGTTGACAAGAGGTTCTCGGTAAGTAGAATCCTATATGAAGACAGAGATTTTTTTATGAATTTGCGGGCTAACGAGCGTAGGTATCATCAGCTGATGATCAGCGCCGCTCAAAAACAATACAATTAAATTTGAGTATAGGTGAGCTATTGAATCGCAATTCAGCAAAAGATTTGCGTAGTATCATATTGAGTAAGAAGACAATCTCAGAATGAAAACATTATCACAGTTGAGTGGTTAGTAAGTGATTGTTAGTGAATGTCACACTTGCATAATATGGTGTACTTTTACTTGGTACACCAATCAAACATGCAGAGCTTAACTTGGAAGATTTGCTATTTATGTATATATTATATGGGCACTCATTTCTGGATACAAAATAGATATTTTTATTTGATACGAGAGCAAACAATCTGGCGGATTACCTGATGGTAATTAATCGACAGAGACATGGACACCAAAAGAGTTGCAGATGTTTTGCCGGCCTCTTGGGGTTAAGGGGTTTTGAGAATTAAGTGAATGGGGCAAGGGGAATGTTAGGCTTCCGGTAACATCAGTCACGTGGCGAAACACAACGCTGTAGTTGTTTCATGCCAGTTATCTGAGACTGGATCTCCCACAATAAGCCTTTTTTACTTATTATAGATATTTAAGATAACTATATAAGAAGTGGTCTTTTTACATATGCTTATAAAGGACAATTTCACAATGTCTATTAATAAATATGTGTTAACTTGTACTGGTTTACAATTTGATACATTTCTTGCGAAAATTATGTAAAGATACTAAATCAGTCCTCGTGAATTAAACCCTAAATGTAACAATTAAAATGATTTATTAATTGTACAATTGTTTCCAACTATCAATCTCCTTTTTAATACCGTTTGCTTCAATTTCCAGGGTAAGTTCCCAGTGAAAATTAAGCTGTGGAACGAACACGACGATTCCCAGGCATGCTGCGTCACCTTCACAGTAAAAGTTAAATAGATGTAATTAGCCATAAGCATTTGATATTATAGGTTTAGTTGTGTCTCCATTTTTGTGCTTTAATAGTTTATCAATATCATTATTATGTATTAATAAATACTTTTTACTAAATTGTTTACGTTTTTCTTCATTTATTTATATTTTGTTTTTTTTTATAGAATAAGTCGGCAAACGAGCAGGCGGATTTCCTGATGGTAAGCAATCATCAGAATAAGAGTTGCGGATATTTGAGGATTGGGAAGGGATAGGGGAGAGGGAGGGATGGGCTTCTGTAACTTCACTCACTCGGGGAAACAACACTGTGGTTGTTTCATACCGTTTTCTCCGAGCCGAACCATTCGTGCCGAAGCTTGGCTCTCTCAAAATTTTTTTTTTTAATATTATAAGTCACACCAGCAATGGCGGATCTACCGTTGTGGGCACGATTGGCATGCCCACAACCTTAATACACTTGTGATTGAAATAAGTTTGGATCGAAACTGACTATTAGAAATTAGAAGAAGTCGTGTCCGACTTCTTCCTAAGTTTGTTTACATTCCTAAAGCTAAAGTCCTGATGCTTAGAAAAAAGGAAATCTAATTCAAAAGTTCATAAACTATTTGCATGATTGTTAATGAGCATGTCCATGCTCCGACTCGTACTTAGCCGATTTTCTAGTAGCTGTGACCACAACCTTTTTTGGAGGCTGGATCCGCGCTTGCACACCAGTCCATCTGTCTAACAGTTGGATAGTTGAATAAACTTAATAAACATTTAAAATGTTACCACAAATACAAAACATATTATTTAACAAGCAGATCGTTGCATAAAAAGTTGCATACAACACTTGAGTAGCACAAGTTTGTTGCAACTTGTAAGCCAGTGTGTCAGTCAAGAATAAATAAATCCAACCTTATAAAACATTAATATATTCATAACATATTTGTTTTCATATTTTTAGGTAATTTTAGAAAGGAATGAATATGTTACTTGACCACGTGACGTGACGTGAAAAAATATGACGACGCATGCTTTGCCCCTTGGTTAATTTGATTTATTAAAATCGTATGAGAAGATTTGGAAATCAAACTCTATGACCTTCTTATCCAAGTTCGACATTTTCCTAGAATTCGACCTAAACAAAAACGATTCTTGGCGTTTATTATACATTTTTTGTAAATATAATAACAGTTCTTTGGAGTGCAAAGAAGCTCAAAGGTAAGAGGAAGGCGTGCGGTCACAATAATTTTACTTTCTCAGAGGTCACGGTATCGGATCGAGTGAGGTGAATGCACGCGCACAATAAGGTTCATTCTCGTTAGATATGCCAGCCACCGGGACCGTGAGATTCGCCGTAATATGTCGAACGTTTAAGAAATTTCTAGATACTTCCACGGAAATGGAATATGGAGAGAATTTTCACGAGATTGTTTTAATATGAATTGTTTTTTCTATACTTTTTTCTATATCAAATCTACAATCTACATATAAGACTTATAAATAGCTTAGTAAAGTAAAAAGCAGAATGGACACCAGGCTCACCGGACGGTAAGCAATTCCATGAAGTCCCATGAGTTCATGAACTCCCGCAACACCGGAGGAGGCACAAGCGCGTTGTGAGCCTTTTAGGGTTTGGGATATGGATATTGGAGATAGGAGATTAAGAATTGGGGGATTGAGTCTCCAGTAACCTCACTTACAAGGCGATTAACACTAAGCATGGGTCTCTCACACGTCATCGTAGAATATATTAACTTCCAAACACTAATCCGAGTGAGAGCATCGAAAGGTATACAATGTCAGATACGGCAAGCGACTATCTGATATCCAATCTGATTATGGAAATTCTATGTAGAGGAGGCTCAAGGTCCAATAATGAAGAAAGGGTTGTTTTTGTGTAATGTGCCATATCTTTTAATGCAAATTATCTTTGAACCTTAACAAACATCTTCCCTAACAAATAATTGCGATGGAGAAGTACCTACTGCTTTTGTTCGTGTATCAGATTTTGTAGGTAAAACTTTCATTTTTGTTTGTGACCTGATACAATGCTTCTACATCATCGTTTCAGCTGCTACGTTGGGCGTTCTGTGAACACGAAAGGTGGTGTGACTCAATTGTTAATATGAAAAAAAAATGTTTTACAAAAATACATGTGTATGCAGCAGCAGAATTCCGAATTCAAGCGCAAAATGAGTTCGGAACAGGAGAAGGAACGGGGTGGATTTTAGTCAGTAAGAGTCTGACACTCCCTCTCGCCTCACTCAGGGCGGGAGAAGGCATTCGATGATATCTCCCACGAAAAAGAAACAGAGATAGCGAAAGATGGGTGTACCGCTACACTATACATATCAAAATATGTAGGTACGTCACAGATCACAAAATTTGTCCTACGCAAGTAATTTTTCTAAAATGAAAAAATGTTGAAGCTCATTAGGCAGATTACTTAGAAAAGTCAAAACTATTTGACGCCAAAAAATATTTCTTTAAAAAACGGCACGTTGATAAGTGTCCTATCTTTGTTTAAAAATAATCCTTAGGAGACGCCTATTATTCTGGCCATTTAACAATTTAGTACTCCTTCTGACTCCTTATTAAATTTTGTTTCAATATTAAAATCAGCTGGTAGGTACTTTTAAGATAATAATATTATGGAGTTTTATTAAATTCACACGACTGACTTCCTTTCTCACTATTATTAACCTGATTAACATTCTGAGTCATTAGGGATATGGAAAAAATACATTAACTCTAAAACAAATCATACTTGCACCAAACGTATGAACAGGAAATGAATGAAACCGCAAATTCTTATAGTACTAAACTTATTTATTCATACAACGCCATATTTTTATTAACGAATTGTGAATATCCTACAAACAAAAAACATTCTTTAAAATTCTAATAAAACAAGCCATTTTAAAAACAACCCAAAGCGAATGATAGTGCCGATTATAACACCTTAATCACGTGCACACACTGTGAGCAATCAGCACCGCCCATGGACACCTTTTGCCGGCCTTTAAGGGATTAAGTTTAGGATATTTAAGGATTGGGAAGGGATGGGGGAGGGTATATGGTGGGAGGTGGTGAAACACAACGCTGTGGTTGTTACATGCTGGTTTTCTCTGAGGCCGTTGTATCACTCCGGTCGAGTCTACCCATTCACGCCGAAGCTTGGCTCTCCCACACTTAAAACTCGAACTCCACTCTACTAGTTTTATGTCACATCGGGGCTCTTATTCATGAATAAGTAAATCGTTATTTTCAATAAATTAAGTATGTCTCAAGATAGCTATAATTTAAAAAAATCAAATCAATAATTATAAAACAATAAATCGTCACTAAAAACAAAACACTCTCTGAAAGAGTTCGAACTTTCTAAGTTTAAAATACCTACCAGTGTGTATTATTTTATTAATAAACTCCGACTATAAACTTCATAATTAAAAATATTTATATTACATACTAACGTTAGTCATAAAAGAACAGCGACTACCAATATAATTTAAACCGAAACTATCTCTTTATATCTATCATCATAATAATATCTACGTATCTATACTTAGTTAAAAGTTGCATAAGTTATACTTCTCATTTCAAGTGTAGAAAGTACGGGTATCACTTGACACCTACCATTGTTAAATCAGCTAGACTATCTCTAGGTATATACCTTTTTTTGTCAGGGGAAAATCGTCAAATGACTTCTCGCGCCCAGGGTTAGGCGAGAGAGAGTGTCAGACTCTTACTGACTAAAAACCCCCCGTTCCTTCTCCTGCTCTGGGCCGAGGCCGCGGTGACTCATTGCGCTTAACCATAGGGACCCGTCTGTGGTGGTCCATTGGCTCTTTGAGGCGGGCGCGATCTCTATATACCTAATTCGTTTATTTATTTCTTCGACGACTAAATTAATTCCTCTGATTTTTTTAGTATTGTGGTAAACTAAAAGACATTTCGGCTGATGGTAATCGATCAGCATCGCTTATAACCTTGGAACCCGCAACACCAGAGGAATTACAACTACGTCAACAACGTTGCAAGTCTTTAGACACGAAAGTGTTTCGGGATTTTTGGCACGATATCCCAGAATGGGGATTGTCATATTCAGTCAGTTTGAGTTCTTCTTTCTTACTTTTTACGTTAGCCCCGCACCCCGGCTGCCGATACGTACCTAACTTTAACATATGATTTAAAATTGTACTGGCTACCAATAGATAATATTTTTAATGCATAAATCTTGTAGAGTCTGTTAATGTTTTATATTCAAAAAAATATTTATAGACGGATGTAGATGCAAGTGTGGGAGATTTAAGCTTGAGATTTAGTTGATACAAACGTCTCGCAGCAAATCGGCGTGAAACAACGCTTTCATTGTGTTTCGTAAGTTAGTTAATCAGAGGAGGATTTCTAAAATAATTAAACCCCTACTGGCCGGTAATGCATTCTGCATACGCACATTATATTATTTTTTACATTGTCTCGACTTGGAGAGACGGGCTTCTGAGTTTGTTTCGGCATTTCTTCTCAGAGTAGTCAGATAGGAAATGCCGGCTTCATCTAGTTTTATGCTTATAATTTTGACGTGTAAAAGAACTGTTTTATGGCCTACTTACAAAAATAAATTCATTGTTTCATTGTAATTTATCTGGTAGTCCTTAAGCACTATTTGAAAAACAACTATCTAAAGAAATGTCCACTTATACATATCAACAATATCATCTAAATAATGTATTTGTATAGTAACTGTATTTCAAATACCTATAGGATATCTAATAGTAAACAGTTAACCTCTAATATCAGATCGAAAGTTTCGTTATATTATGATTGCAGCTTTCCAGTCACACTCAAATCTATAATAAGATCTATTTAATCAAATGGCTGTCCGTCCGACAAGCACTGGTTACACGTTTACATCGCGAGACGATAGAGTAGGGTCGCTTACTAGTAGAAATAACTTAAATGACTTAGAAAGCCGATTATAATAATAATGTATGTGATCCTTAATTAAAAGTTATAAATTCTGAAGTTAAAGTGTGGGAGATTCATGTTTCACCACGGCCTCACACACCCAATCC